TCAACTGTCCATCAGAGGTGACCAAGTGTCTGATCAAACCGACGCCAATAGTGAACCCAGAAGCAGGGAAGTTTGTTGTGGCGATCACACCAACACTAAGGGAGGTGATACAACCAACCAATGAAGAGAATCCACAAATAGTGGAGCGGGACTCAACACCACCCCAGCGCAATAAATCAAGAAATTTTGTCATCTGGAACTGCCGAGGTGCCCAGTCACCCGATTTTAGAAAAAACTTTTGTTCTCTGCTAAACTACTACCAACCGATACTGGTTGTCCTACTAGAAACTCACCTAATGGACCGCAATTTACTTAAAGAAGATTTTAACTTCACCAATCTATCACAAGCACCAGTTGATGGCCAGGCAGGAGGTATAGTGGTTTTATGAAACGATACTTTAGTTAATGTTACTTTAAAAATCGTCACAAGTCAAGAGATTCATTGCATGGTCCAGGTATGTCCAAACGGTCCACCTTTTCTATTTTCTGCCATTTATGCAAGCATTTTATTCTCCTCCGGGAATGTTTTATATCAAAATTTAATGCATATAGCTAATACTTATAAGGGTCCATGGATCGTAGGGGGTGACTTCAATGACATTCTATATTCGGATGAAAAATTTGGAGGGTCAGCCTTAAATAATAATCGAGCAGATATGTTGCTTAACTGCTTTAACTATTGTCAACTTATTGATTTAGGTTTTAGAGGTAGCAAATATACTTGGACTAATAAATGGAGGAGGGGTGCCATAATATTAGAAAGACTAGATCGTATTGTAGCAAATTATGATTGGCTTAATATTTACCCCGAGGCACATGTGCAACATTTACCCAGAACTCATTCTGATCATTGTCCTTTATTTACTCTTTATAATTATATGCCACACAGAAATAATATTTTTTGAATAGAAACCATGTGGCTGTCACACCACGAATTTCCCTAGCTAGTAGACCAAATTTAGCATAAAAGCCCTCTTATGTTAGAGGCAATTGATAACTTTAGTACAATAGTCAAAATATGGAACAAAGAATCTTTTGGCAATATTTGTTATTAAAAAAATCAACTTACAACTCGACTAGAGGGAATTCAAAAATCTCCTAATTATCCAACTAGTCACTTCCTCCGGAATTTAGAAAAAGATCTTATATACCAATATAATCAAATTCTAACTCAGGAAGAGGATTTTTGGAAGTTAAAATAGCGTATTAATTGGCTTAACCAAGGGGACACCAACACAAGATTTTTTCATCTATCTACCCTCAAAAGAAGGCGACGGAATAGAATCTTAGCTCTCAAAGATTCTTCAAAAAATTGGATTTCTGACAACGACCAACTACAACACCTTATTACTCACTACTATCAAAACCTTTATACAACATCTCATACGACCTCCTACAGGAACTACAATACTTGTACTTATAATAGTCTTTCACAAGCTGACGCTACTAAGTTAGCCCTACCAGTGACGGATCAAGAAATAATTGAAGTTGTGTATTCTTTCTAACCCCTTAAGTCACGCCCAGATGGCCTTCACCCACTATTTTATCAAAAAAATTGGCCTAAAATCAAAAACTCAATCATTCTTTTCTGCAAAAATATTTTCCAAAAGGGCCATATTCCAATAGACTTAAACAAGACTTATGTCTAATCCCAAAAATCAAAAGCCCTACCACTACAACTCACTTTAGACCCATTAGTTTATGTAACACCCTCTATAAGGTTATCACCAAAATTATTGTTAATCGTATTAAGCCCTTCTTATATCACCTTATTAACCCTACTCAATCCGCTTTCCAAAAAAATAGAAGGGCCTCCGATAATGCAATCATAGTGCAAGAATTACTTAACGCCATTCATTACACGAAAATAGACCACGAAAAAGCTTTCGATAGAATGGAATGGAGCTTTATACGCCATTCATTACACTTCTTCAATTTCCCTCCTCAGTTAATTTCTCTCATTATGTCATATGTCTCTACCACTTCTACGTCAATCCTTTTTAATGGATCCCCAACAAGTTTCTTCTCTCCATCTAGAGGCATTAGGCAAGATGACCCGCTCTCACCTTATCTTTTTATTATGTGCATGGAACTACTATCTAGGCAAATAAACAATGCAGTGGATTACAATCAATGGAAGCCTATTACTTTGAATGCTAAAACACCCCAAATATCCCACTTATTCTTTGCGGATGACATTATTTTGGCTTCTAAAATAACCACTTCTAGTTGCCATAAAACTATTGAGTTATTGGAACAATTCACTTACCACTCAGCACAAAAAATTAATTTTGAAAAATCAAAAATTTACTTCTCCAAATACTGTACAACTACTGATAAGAACTTCATACTTTTGTCTTTTAATATACCGGAAGGTAAATCGTTTAGTAAATATCTAGGTTTTCCAGTCTTCACTTCTAAGCCCACCAAAAGAGATTTTCAATTCATAATAGACAATTTTAAGAATAGGCTGGCAGGATGGAAAACAACTCACCTAACCATGGTTGGGCGTACTAATTTAATTAAGGCAACTCATAATGCCATTCCCAATCACATTATGCAAATAATCTCTCTCCCCACTCACTTAATCTCTAGATTAGAATCTTACCAAAAGAGCTTTCTTTGGGGCTCTACCTCCCAGAAAAGACGGCTTCACCTTCTTAATTGGAATGTTGTCACTACTCCTAAGGATCAAGGGGGACTAGGTATTCAACGTCTAAGAGATAAAAATGATGCTTTACTAGCCGGTATTGCTTGGAGGCTATTTCACAAGCTTCACACACACTGGACTTCCTTTCTTATTAATAAATACATTAATACTCCTAAGCATCCAATCCAAAGAACTTCCATTATATGAAAACATATTATGCGTGGGTGGCAGACTTGCCAATCTGGATTACAATGGCACGTTACAAAAGGAACTCATGTTCACTTTTGGACTGACAATTGGCTTGCTCCAAACACCAATATTTCAAGCCTCATACAAAGCCGTTTACACAACAACGAAGCACAGCTAACAGTAGCCAAGGCTCTCCATTTTAGTAATGGAACACAAACAACTCTTTCCTTTGATTTACCTTCCCACATAATTCAAAGACTAAACAACACTTACCTTCCTAATTATGGGACACGACCCGATCATTTGATTTGGGGTCTAACTCCCACAGGCATCTTCAGTGTTAGCTCATGCTACAAAGTACTCACCAAGTCTACACAAGGTGCTAATCATCACGGATAGATTTGGCACCTACCCATGCTGCCAAAAATTAAATATTTCTTATGGTTGATTAGCCATAATAGACTGCCTACCAAACTTTACCTCCAAAAGTTGGGAATTATTACCTCTAACATATGCACAATTTGCCAAGCTGGAGAAGAGTCTATAAGCCACATCTTATTACATTGTACACATGTCACTCTTTGTTGGCGAGACCTAAAACTAGGGTCCCTAATTCATTTTTTAAACATAACTCACATTCTAAACCACGTTTGGCTAAAACAACTTATTCTCAAAAGGGCTCACATTTTTCTAATGGCCTTCCTATAAAAGAGTTAATTCCTTTCACGTTATGGCATCTTTGGAATGTTAGAAACAAAAATTGTTTTGAATGTGCGAACCAAAAGCCTTCGATCTCAACAATTCTACAACTCACTAATGAATATCACTTTCTAACTAACCACTCAACCAAGAATTGTAATAAGTTTCCTATGTATGTCAAATGGAACCTGCCCCCATATCGAGTCCTTCAATTAAATACGGATGGGGCAGCCAGTCAAACAAAACCAATAGCGGATTTTGGTGGGGTATTCAGAGACCACACAGGCAACTGGATCATGGGCTATGCGGGACATCATCCGTTCACTAACTTTATCAATATTGAACTCATGGCTTTACTACGTGGATTGCAAATTGCAATCATGCACAACCTAACTCCACTGGAAATTCAAATGGATGCACAAGAGGAAATAAACATGCTACAAAATAATGCATTATTAGACTCACCTCTGTTAATTGATTGCAGATTCCTGATCCACCAACTGAGTAAACCTGCACAGTAGAGACAAAGTGAACTTGTATTTAGGGATGTCAAATTTGGCCCAAACCCAAATGACCCGTCCAAGGTTGGGCTGGTTATTGACCTGCTCATTTGTTGAATGCAACACATCTTAACCCAACTCATCTCAACCCATTTAAAGTAATGCTGATTTTTAACCCAAATTGATCCATAATTAACTTTGCCAAAATATCTTAGTAATTTTCTTTGTTTGATATGTTATATATGACCATAGCAAAAGAAAAAAAATTATTTCGTAATTATACAATTCATAAGAAAATAACACGTATTAAGTAAAGCTTGATAAGAGTTGGGCAGGTTGGGCTATGATCCAAGTTTTAGTCCATCTTGACCTAACCCATCTTAGCCCAAGTAATTTGTGTGTGGGTCATTTGACCCGCCCAGTTATTGACTCACACAATTTTGACCCTCCCAAATCGGTCCCAACCCGGCTATTTGACACCTACGTGTATTCAATTTCAATCAAGAAATTGAAGATGTGGCCCAATATGCACAAAAGTGAACTTTTGAGCTCCTTCACTAAAATGCAAATAGAACACTAGCAATGCTCCATATTACTACTTGTCGTAACAAACTGCATTCATTCCAAAATATTTGCCAATAAATGGCAATTTAAACAAACTTCTAATGATTAAGACAAGGAAATGTCTTTCTTAAGTGGTGTTTAAAAATATCAATAATATGGGCCGAATAGTCGGTAGCCTCATGCTACGAACATCCTTGATAGACACTAGCCTCATGCTATGAAGGATTTTACTCAATTGAAAGATCAAAAGGAAATGCCATTTGATTCATTAAAGAAAGCAATCTATTATCTGCACCAGCTTGCATGCTTACAAATTATTAACAAGTTATATATTATCAACTAACCGAGAATATTTCCCAACAGTTTAACTGTGTCTAAAAGGAAAGAACGCAAATGCCTCAATGTGAAGTCCACTCATTTCTTCAAAATGCAAAATCACAACCACAAATACTTCTGTCATAAGTAAAAATCAAGAAAATTACATTAGTAAGTCTATTTTGTGAACCAAATGGACACTTAGATGACACCAGAACTTGAACTTCTCAGTCCAAGGATACAACACTTCAAACCTTAAGCACTTTAACAATGCTTAACCCACTTTATAAACACTACTTGGTTAATATTATTCTCAATAGTTATAAAGTCAATTATTATATTTTTTTGGTATATAGAATTCCATGTAGTTGACGGAAATTCTTCTGCTATAATTCTGGCTGCACCAGGAAAACAGGGCAGATGCAATCCCAATCAGAAACAACGAATTCCAACAATCTTCAATCATCAATTGTCTTGATGCAAAGAGATTTTAAGGTATGGATCGTCCTTGTATTTCAAGTATTGAGGAAGTTCGAGAACTCTTTCTGCAATCCTCCTGTCCTCGTGAATCTTGGCTATCAAGGCTTCAAGTGATGAAAAATCAGCCTGTAATATTGCAAATAGTCCGGTGATATGAGCAAGTGCTTTCAGAAAGAAAAAAGAAAAATAAGAGTAACTAGGCCACAATACCTCCGGCCGTATATAGCCCACAACAACTAGGTGCAATTCCTCACCATAAAAGTCCTCATTGAAGTCATGAAGCAACCATGGCTCCTAAAAAGTAAAGTTGTCTTCAACAAACCAAAAAAAATCAAGAATAAGCAAGAATATGTCACGACACACTTACTATAGCTTTCTCTGTGTTATTAAAATATGGATTCCAACCAATGCTCATGACCATCTTGTAAACACCAAGAGTTGATAGTCCTGCCCATCCAAAATATACACCCGCTGGATGTTCTGAAAGAATGGCTGAATAACCTTCTGGGGATAAATTAGCTGAAAAAATATTTGTTACCATAAGAATAGAAAAAAAACATCAAACTGTTAGGCCATACAAGGCAAGAAAATAATCTTTCAAGTCCATCTAACAATTGTAGATGTTTGAATACAAATAACACATTGACATAAAATCAGAATCTCTGATATGATAGGTTCACAAGAAGCTAAAATTCCAATAACAAACTTGTGTGAAATTCTAACAGCCACTTCAAGCGAATACAGATACTGAGTCAAACATTTATATTAGCCATTCAGCAGAAGGAATAACGATGAGTATACCTGTGGGGATCCCAAGAACCTTTGAGCCGCGCCCAAATCCCTTAATGACAGGGCCACCTATATACCAAGGTTGTAAAGGCAAAGTACATTCTATTCCTGCATATGCTTCCAGTCAAAAATTGAAAGAGAAATCAAGCACACTCCATACAAGTAAAGCAGTCATAAAGACTTACTATCTTGAAATGCAGGTAATCCCCACTTTTCTAGTTGCAAATCTAGAAGAGAAGTGATCACTTCATCAGCGGAAGTATAAAGATGAGACTGTTTTGCAAGAGATGGTACAGCCACAACTGCCATTCCAGCAGCCTTAGCAGCAGTAACACCTGGTCTAACATAGGTATCTGGTCGAGTTAACTTTCACTAAGTTATGAGATAAACAATCTACATCCAATTCAAAACTAATATGGACTTGAGAGAGTAAAGGGCCATATTTCAGCCTAGAAAATGCAAAAGCAATGACAAGGAATTTTAAACCTCATTATCCATGAAATAAAAAATAAATCTAATAACTGTAGAAATTATAAATTATGATGTCAGAAGTTAGTAGCTAACGTTATTTAGTCCTATGTTGATATCCATCTTAACATGTGTAAATTTGAGCTGAGCATGATAAACTCAAACAAACCCCCCTCAATGTCTTCTAAGGAGTAAAACACCCCACTGATACCCTTCTTTTTCTTCCTTCTTTTGACCAGTAGTTAGATTTTCTAACGTGCTCCAATGCTTCTGATAGGATCTAGACAATCGACATAATCTTTGAAGAGAAAAACTCACATTGAATCTTCAATGACAAGAAAGCTGGATGGATCCATGTTGAGTCTTTTAGCTGCTTCAAGAAATCTTCCAGAATAAGATATACAAGAGTTAATTCAACATCCATAATACCAGATTATGAAATGAGGAGGACAAAGATAAACAATTCATCCAGTTTTACATTTCAGGAGATGGCTTTCCAGCTTTCACTTCGTCTCCTCCAACAATGGCAGAGAATGATTCTTTCCATCCTGAAAATAATAAAGAATATCCCAATCAAAGCACCAAGCATAAATGCTATCTTACATGCTGGACTGGCAAATACCTTCACAAGGAAAGAAATACCTCTCTAACCATATTTTAAAACCCTACCCTGATGATGAAAAATTTTGGTCTCTATGTTAGACTGAGAAGAATTTGAAGCCAATGCCATGGGTACACCATGACCCCTCAAATGGTTAATCAATCGATTGGCCCCTGGAAGAGCTTTGATATTGCGCCACCTATATCAAAATGATTAACAAATTTCTATCAGAAATTTGGACTGGAAAGTATCTGCAAAATACAATAGATATACAAGTTCCACAACTATATAGCAGAAGCTCTCGCAAGCAATCAGAGTTTTACTAGCTCAAAGAAAAGAATTCTAAAGGTAACACCAATCCAACATTGCTTTCACTCTCAGCAAGAGTCAAGAAAATCATGTTCCTCAAACTACCAAGACCATAGGTGAGTTGATCACCCTTATTCCTCCTACCCCCCCCCAAACTCCCCGAACAGAAGAACAAAAGAAAAGGGAAAAACTTCACTCCATTTAACTTAAAAACCAACAAGTTCAATATACAAGAAACACAGATGATTGACGAACAAACAAAACATAGTCATTTCTTTTTCTTTTTTTAATAGTTAATGTATCTTCATTCTTTCATTCCTTGTTTTTCCTTTATTTCTTTTGGTGATCTTCTTTTCTAATCAATAAATAAATAAATATCACTAAAAGCAAGATAAAAAGAAAGAAACATGTATATTTGCATTTTCTAAATTGGAGATCAAAACTTGGTTCCCCTATTAGTAATTCTCCGCAATATAATTACCACTTGTACCTATTTAATTTTCAATAAGGGTTTTGAACAAAACGAAAACCCCAAAACTCTGTCTCTAGTCCTCTATTCTCTACTAACTAAGTTGCAATCTATCATCCATGCTCCAACTATAAAACAGCTTTGTAACATTATCCTTAACATCCATTAATAGAATTTAAGGAAAATAGTCTGCCTATTAATATTTTAGTGTGAATAATCCTCCAATAGTCTATTCAATTTCAGTTTGTAGCAATCAATAAATAGAAAGGAAATGAAACTAGTTTTGCTGGTTTCTTACTGGTCAGATAGCATTGGGTAAAATTGTGAAAGAAATTCATCTATTGATAATGGGAGCCCATAATCTTCGACAACTGCAGCTGCAGCTTCTGTAGGGGTTTTCCCGACTATTTTGGGAGCTTCTCTCCCATCCCATTGCTTTCCATACTTAACTAAGAAAGCCTTTAAAATCTCACTCACAACACCATCTGTCAGAACAAAGAGGTCAAATTAAAATTAGAAAACAGGAGGGTAATAAGAAACGCAAATGCCCACAGGGAAGACATTGGCAATATGTTTGATCCTATGCAGCAGTTAACTCTACAACAGTATGGCATTTCTGTCACACAAAAGGTACTTCACAGTGATATAATCATTATCTTTGAGAGCCGGAGTGCATCTCAAATTCTGCATAGAAGTTCCAAATAGTTGCCAGTACACTAAGCATTAAGGGATCTCATATTAAGCATATTCTCAAACAAGACAATTTGATGAAAGAACTTCAAAACAATAAAAAAAAACTTTTACTACAATCTATTCTACACGTAGAGTAAAGATTACAACAGTCAAAGATAGTGGAATTGGCAATAACTTTATCCAAAATTTCAAAGTTTCTGGGCATTTAATATTGCTATTGGACATTGTAAAATTGAAAGGAAATGAAAAGAACTCCGGCTTATTGATGGTTGGCTACAATTGCGTATTTTGGTCACTAATTGCACTCTAATACACTGCACTTTACTAGTGTTTGAGCTTTAAATGGTATTGTTTTGTAGTGAGTGTGTGTTTTGTGCCTTGTCGGAGGGATTCCGAGTTATGAAGAGGTTGAGCTAATTCGAGCTATTTTGGAGCTTTGAAATCTGAGTAAAAGCCCAAGGATTAAGTCAGGATCGTTTTCGGATATTAACGAACGAATAGTGCACTTAATGGGAGAAACAAAGAGTTGAGCAGGAGGTTAAACCAGATGTGTGACCGCGCATGAGACCCCCTCCAGCGTGCACTTGAGCGCACAAGTAACGCAGTGCACTGCCAGAGGTGCGCGATCACACCTCCAGGTGCGCGGCCGCGCACGTCCACTTTCGAAAACTTTACCCGGGCCATTTTTTGTAATTTTGGAGGCGACTCCTTTTGACCTATATGAAGCCTAGCTTGTCTAAACACAGGGTATCTCGGATTTTAGAGCAACTTTTGGGAGAGAAGAAGGCAAGGAAACAACGGAGACTCAAATTACTTCATCCAATTCATTCAATACGGAAGTTTGTTTGATTTTGGGAATTGTAATGTCTTCTTGTTCTTCTAATACTCTTGTGATGAATAACTTCTTCACTATGGAGTAATATTCCTTAGGGTTATTGACGGATATTGTGATTGGCTAGTGTTTTGGGGCTTTACTTCATGTTAATTGCACGAATTCGTTGAATGAATATTAATTGAATTGCAAAGCCAAATTGTGGTTTTACTTTAATCGAAAGACAAGTGTTGCTGCAATTCGCATCGTGTTATCTTGTTTGGGTTGATTTTACACCTCTTAGGTAACCGAAAAAGCTTAGAGAATTGACCAAATTTAGAAGAATAGTCGAGAGACGTTCTTTGAAAGATCTTTCATTCACTGTATATTCGCATATGTTCCTAAAACATGTCATTAGGTTGGTTAACGGAACTCTCATTCATTCGGAGGAAGAATTTGAATCAATAAGATAGCCTAATCATTTGTTGAAATCGTAAGAGTCAATAGAAATTAAGAGTGAACTTAGCACGAAGTTACCCGGAATAATAGTTAATCACATATCCTGTCACAGCCCTTACTTCTCACCTTGATATTCAATCGTTGCTACTTAGTCATTAAATTTCCATTATTTTCTCACAATCGATAATTTAATTTTTTAATATTAGTTGATAATAACATAAATCAAAGGCGTATTTCCTGGATAGTGTTAAGCTGAAGATTTATTAGAACATTATTTAAACCAATCCCTGTGGAGACGATTTAATACTATATTATCTCTAGCGAGCCTTGTTTCACACATTGGTTTTGCGCTCGTCACTTACGATTTTAAATATTGGAGTAGAAATTCAAAGTTATGAAGAACAAATACCATGAATGATTTAGGAGAATGGCCGAGAATATAATTTTAGAAGGGTACGGTCAAATATTCTCAACAAAAAAAAATATTGTTCTCAAAAAAATGTAAAGTCAAACAACACTAGCACTACCAACCTGTATTAAGAAGTGTACCATCCAAATCAAGGATGACACCAGAAAATAGCTTCTTCAAAGTTCGTTCAACAGACATCAAGAGTAATATCTGCCACGTAGAAACAGAAACCTATGTCCACGTTATGTGAATATAAGATATACTCGCACGTTAATAAAGCTAAATACATGAATTTAATCTTGAAGTCAAATGTAGACATAAAATCAATATACAAACATATGTGTATCATGATTGCATCAGAAGTAACGCTACTGTTACTTGGAATTCATTTTACGTTTCCTGCTCACCATCAAAACTGCGCAAGTCCATAATGGGCATGAGGCATATAAGCATTCAATATTAGGACGAAATATATGTTAACTTTCCATCCCACATACACAGAGAATCATGTCAAACATAAACATAGATACCTTTGTAAACTTTGAACTCATTCTGACACCATATTGCTCATCCCCAACTAGGGATGTCAAAGGGGCAGGTCGAATAGATTTTGGACCAGCTAAAATGGATTTTGGTAGAATAAAGTTAAGATCCAACACACCCAAAGTTTACTCGAGTCAATAAGGATTGGTTAATTTGGACCAAATAAAAGGGCTTAACCCAACCCAACCAACGCAGAAGTCTTAGGTACACTAAGCTGAGATTTATAGAATTTCAATGTAACAACCTCCGGTTTGGCCCAAAAGAGTTCAGCTTGCTAACAAAAATTACTCCCTAAAAGAGTTAAAATGGAAAGGAGCAAATAAACTATAAACCTGACATAAGGTTATCAACTTTTGCTAAGAAAGTAAATGGAAAATTTTGAACATAATCAACCAATAAAGTATCAAATTCACCTAACTATGCAACTGTAGTCAGCCATCTTTTTTCTTCAAGAACCTCGAGTATCCCAAGGAGCCTTTTTTAAATAAACAGATTTTTGAAGCTCCAAAGGGTTTTTCAATTAGAAAGTGACAAAACATTTGTTTAAAAGGAATTATCTCAGAGTCGCCACTTGGCATGTAATCTCAGTGTGCCATGTCACCATTTAAAAGCAATTTTTCCTTAAAAACATATTTGACTCTAAACTAGTTTGCACCTGAGATTTTGAGTAAGGGGTTCATTTAACCCGGGAGAAGGTGTTAGGCATTCTCCGAGTCCCGTGATAGTCACGGTTGCGTACATGATCCAATTGGCTTTTAAAATATTCAAATTGAGGTAAAAACACACAAAGAGCAAAAATAAACACAGAAGAGGCTCATGGTTGTTCACACCTAATAAACAAAAGAAAAGAAAAATAAAATATTAACAATCCTATATCTATGCTTCCTTCATAAGCTCGTCACGACCTCCAGAATATTTACAAAGTTCTTTAAGGGCATTCCCCGGATAAGATAATCGACTGAAGGGACAACCTCTCGCCTCAACAAAAACTAAAACACAAACGCCCTAAAGGTTTGCCTACCCAAATGTGGTCGGCCTAGCATGCTCCTAGCGACCCGAGTAATTAAAAGAGAAATAAAACGAAGAATAATAAAATCTTTCTTATGCCCAAATTCCTTCTCGTTATTAACCAAACCCACATCCAACTTCAATCTTTTCTTTCAAATCTCAAATACAACACTGTACTTTTGAATTGTGATTTTAAACTAAATAAGCTATGGTAAGGGAGGAATCAGTAGAAGACAAAACCCACCAAAACAAAGAAGACATATCAACTTCAGGCCAAGAACATTAAGTTTAAACTCAATAGATCTAACACATGAAGCATGCATAACACCTAATCATGCAAAATAAACAACCAGCTCATACAATCAATCCTCTAAGAATCAACAAGCATATAAAGTCAATGAAATAAGGAAGCGATGTCAAGAAATGGACCTCAAAGTAGGGCTCCAATTAAGTAGCTTTGGCAACGTATGCAGCGGCTAAAATGGACATCAATGTAACTCGACTCAAACACGAACCATCGACTGGACACAAAACCGCAAATGGATACCTCGAACGACGACTCGACCACTCAAACCTCGAACAACATATCAACAAACAGCTCGAAATAAGCTTTAGTGAAGACAAAACTGTATTTTTGATTCAATAAAGAAAAGCTCTTTTAACAAAGCTTCATAGCAGAGACAAACACCGGACAAAGCTTCAAAGCTAATACTCCAATAGACTGAAATCTATGACAGTGAAACTCGAACAAAATCCGGAATGAAAATTTCGACCAAGACCAACAAACCAAAACTCGCCGGCAAACTCGAATTCCGCCAAAGACCTCGGCAGCACCTCTTCGAATTCCGCCAAAGCTTTGCAAGAAATGGAGCTTAAGGATGAGAGGTTGTGTGCTTTTGGATACTGTTCGACAAAGTATTTTCGGGTAGCCTTAGGTTCGATTTTTTTTCTGTTGATTCTGGTTTCCTGACCTTTAAGAAGAAGCAAAAGAATTCAAAACTCCTCTGTTTTGTGACTGTAGTTCTCGTTTTTTCTTTTGAAGTTCCCCTCTATTTATTTATTTTTATTTCAGATCTGTTTACCCGTAAAATAAAGAACAAAGTGAGAAATATAAAAGGAAAATGGTTAAACAATGTCGTCACTGTCGCCTTGCCATCGCTGGCGAAGAAGATGGAGGAGCAACAGAGACGCAGCGAGCAGAGAAATGGGAAGAGAGAGACGGGAAAAGGGAAGGGAGAGGAGCGACAGTCAGGGTGAAGAGGGGGTGGGGCGGTTCCCGGCGGGTTTTCTTGAGGGTGGAGAGGCTCGTCTTTTGTCTGGGGGTGGGCGGCCGTTCTTTGTGAAGGGAGGTGGGTGAGGCTCTAGAGCTTCTTAGGTATTTTGTTGTGTTGTAAAATCTGATGGGTTGTGTGGGCTAAGGGAGATTGGGCTCAGGGTTACGCCAAATTGGGTCCGGGCTCCAAGACTCTAAAAAATGTTGTCCAAAATCTTAGTTATATCCCTTTAATATAAGATAAAAATACTATACAATGCAAAAATCAACTCTAATTAATTAAACTAGACTATATTAAAATATGAAACTATTTTTTGTATTCTTAGGATATTATATTAAAATAAAAGTGAAGATAAGTAAATTAAAATCCTAGTAGAATTAAAATAATATCATTATAAAAATGCTAAAAACCTTAAACCAAGTAATAATAAAATGTACGATGAGATGGGTATTATAAAGATGAGCCTATTTTGTTTTTTGATTTTTGAATACTCAAAACAACAAAAATAAAAATAAAAGTAAAAGTACTTATATATACTAAAATCTTATAAAATTAATATAAACTCAAATAGATATGTATAGAATATTGGAGTAGCTTGAACAATCAACGGGTCAAAAATTACGTGCTTACAGCTGCCCATTTTTGCTTGGAAACTCGAAGAATTTTGGAGCAAAGAATTAAGTAAGCAACGTAATTGGTTCTGACCCGACACTTATTTGAAATAAAGATTGATAAAAAGACTATGACTGAGCCTTGGTATCTGAGATGCCTACATATCCTTGGCTATAAAGGAATCAGACCACGCGTAGTTCAGAAGTAGGAGAAGTAGAGGATGATACCGAGGTGGAGAGTCGATTGAAGTGTCGTCGAGGTTTCGGTCCGCGGTTCCTGCCATTACATCATAAATTGAAAGCAAAAATTATAACAAAAAGAAAAGAAAAATACAAGATCCTATCTACTTCTTATCTTGAATCTTCCTTGAATCTCCACTTGATCCTTCAACATGAAACTGAAAATTCACCATATTCTTCAGGTGGGCATCCTGCTGACTTGAACTTGAAGAAAACTGAAAGTTGACCCCGTTCTTCAGGCGGGCATCCTGCTGCTTGCACTTGAAATAAACTTGAACTTGGAGTAGACTTGAGCTTGCAAACCTTGCTCTCCAGGCGGCTCGTGCTACTTCTGATTTGAATTGAAAAAAAAACTGGAGGTTAACCCTATTCTTCAGGAGGGATCCTGGTGCCTCTCACTTGAAAACTGAAAGTTGACCTTGTTTTTCAGGCGGGCTCCTAATGCTTCTCTAACTCGAACTTGAAATCTAAAAATTGACCATGTTTTTCAGGCGGGCTCCTAGTGCCTCTGACATGAACTGAAAATTGAAAGTTGACCATGTTCTTCGGGCGGGATCCTCCTTCTTGATCTTGAAAGAAACTGAAAGTTGATCCTGTTCTTCGGGCGGGCTCTTGGTACTTCTCTGATTGGAACTTAAAACCGATTTCTGAAATATTGACCCTCGTTCTCCAGGTGGTACCTGCAATCAAAACAACACAACAAACAAAATTTTCTGCCTCATACTGCATTAAGAAGATTTATGAGCTGTTAGCAAAACTGTAAATCACCTATGTTATTGATAAAGGATGCAATGATGAGAGTAAAGCTAAAGACTCGACTAAAATGTGCGTCTCTTGTGAGTAAAACTAAGAAACTTAGACTAGGAAATACATCTCCTTAGAGTAAAACTGAATGACCTAAACTAGAAAGTGTGTCTCCTGAAAGGTATAACCTGAATGACCCAAACTAGGAAGTGTGTCTCCTAAAAGGTATAACCTGAATGACCCAAACTAGGAAGTGCGCCTCATATGGGTGAAACTTGAATGACTCAGACTAGGAAGTGTGTCTCCTATGAGTGAACTTGAAGGAAAACTATAAACTTAGCATTACTAAACTAAAAACTGACCATATTCTCCAGGCGGGACCCCTAAACTCAAGAAAAGCTAAAAATTAACAACTTAAGAAAACTAGAAACTGACCATATTCTCCAGGCGGGACCCCTGAACTAAAGAAGTGCAAAGAATTAACAACTTAAAAAAATTAAAAAGTGACCCTATTCTCCATGTGGGACCCCTAAACATCAGGAAAAACTAAAGATTAAAAACTTAAAGAAACTAAAAGTTGACCATATTCTATAGGCGGGACTCCTGAACTTAAGGAAAACTAAAGATTAACAACTTAAGAAAACTAAAATTGACCCTATTCTACAAGCGGAACCCCTGCACTCAAGTAAAACTAAAGACTAACAACTTAAGGAAACTAAAAACTAACCTTATTCTTCATGCGGGACCCCTGAACCAAAGGAATGCTAAAGATTAACAACTTAAGAAAACTAAAACTGACCATATTCTCCAGGCGGGACCCCTGAACTTAAAGATTAACAACTTAAGAAACCAAAAACTGACCCTATTTTCCAGGCGGGACCGTGAACTCAAGTAAAACTAAAGATTAACAACTTAAGAAAACTAAAAACTGACCTAAATGCTCTAGGCGGGACCCCTAAACTTAAGAAAACTAAAAATTAACAACTTAGGGAAACTAAAAGATTGACCCAATTCTCGAGGCGGGACTCCTGGACTAAAGAAATGCTAAAGATTAACAACGTAAGAAACTAAAAGCTGATCCTATTCTACAGGCGGGACCCCTGAACTTAAGAAAAACTAAAGATTAACAACTTAAGAAAACTAAAATTGACCCTATTCTACAGGCGGGACCCCTGAACTAAAGGAAAACTAAAGATTAACAACTTAAGAAAACTGAAATCTGACCACATTCTCCAGGCGAGACCCCTGAACTAAAGAAAAACTAAAATATGACCCTATTCTCCAAGCGGGACCCTTGAACTAAAGGAAAACTAAAAACTAAAAACGTAAGGAAACAAAAATTGACCTTATTCTCTAGGCGGGACCCCTGAACTTAAGGAAAGCAAAAGACTGAAAACTTAGGAAACAAAAACTGGCCCTATTCTCCAAGCGAGACCCCTGAACTTAAGGAAAGCTAAAGATTAATAACTTGAGGAACTAAAATTAACCTTATTTTGCAGGCGGGACCCCTAAACTTAAGAAAAACTGAAGACTCTTCCGACTATGGAGAATGCCTAGGAGGTACGGTTCTTCTCAACTAGGACAATGCCTAGGACGTAATGGTCTTCTCAAACAGCCTTTGTGCTGGCAAAATTTAGGCACGACATCCAAAATTTTCAAGCTTCCAAACTTTGATTTGGACATAGTCTTTGTCCCTGTTTCAAATAAAGAAAACTTGTGAATTATAAACATGGTGGTTGGTTCGTGGCCTTGACCTTGAGGGCGATTGCTCCTTCACTTGCCATGATAACTTTGATTTCAACTTGGAAGACCTTGCTCGTTATTGACTAACCATTTTTCTGTCAACTCTTATCACAGAAAACACCTTTGATCCGTTTAAACTCCAATCCCTCTAACTGTTGCATTGTGCTCATGAATTGACATTTACCGAACCTTTACATTTCACATAAACCCCACAACACGTCAATTGTCGCCAACTCAGTGCGCATACTACTCTTTCCTGACTTATGTCGCTTTGATGTGCTAGCCAAACTCCGCTTTGTGCAATTGGAAAGCTGGTATCAAATTTTGAAGTCATTTCTCACTTGTTCTAACCAAACAAACTCAAAAAGAGGACTTAAACAAAGCAAGAGAAACATAGTAAGCGGACAATGGAAAGAGATGATATCTAACAAGAAAATTACAAAGTAGAAACTTATGAGATGTGGATACCAACTCTAATGACCATGACATGCATTTTTGGATTAAGTAGCCTAATTTGTCAAGCAAGTCTAATCTTCCACTTTTGTCATACCTCTAAGCTGTGAAACTAGGCTTCAATGCTCTAATTGTCCTATCTAATTCATAATCCTTATTCGACTTGTGGTACCCCGAAGGGTTTTCACCATCAAGCCTCTCCCATTTTGTCCTTTATCTCAACTCACTGTCACCTTATGGTGCCCGTGAGGGTTTTCACCAATAAGACTCTCTCATTTTGTTCTTTTCTTCTTATTTCCTTTGATTCTGTAGATGACAAGGTGTTGACCATGGTAAAAATATTATATGCTCCTGGCATGTCTAACTCGGCACTCTAAAAGATTATCTGGAAGATCTTTTCTGGACTGTAATATGGCTTTTGGACAAGGTTAGAAAAAAAGAAAGCCATGAAGGCTCAAATTCAAACTAAGACAAAATGGGGTATAAATTTATAACTTTTGGAACCGTCTTTTATAGAAAATAAAAACTTATGCCTCAGTTTCTTTTGAAGTGAGAAATTTCAGAATTTTTGACTTGGTGTGACCGAACCCTAGAGTAAGGCTGCCTACGTATCTCGTTGATATAAGAATCAGGTCGAACGTAGTTCAAAAGAATACTTTTTGTTGTTGTTGTTTTTTCTTTTTTCTTTTTCTTTTTCTCTTTTGTCTTTCTTTTTCTTTATCTCTTTTCCCTTTCTTCTCTTTTTTTTTTCTCTATTTTCTTCCGGGATGAACTTCTAAAACAAACCTTATGGGGACATGAAATTTTTTAGAGACTCTAACTCGATTCCAAAAGAGGGGAGGTCAAAGAAATTAATACATGCTCAAAGGGTTACCGAATGGTATAAAGTGTTTAGGTAGCTGAAAGAGGGCCTCCCAATCTCTGAAAATGCCAAGTACAACACATGCAGCTTGAGGATGAAAAATGAAGATCATGCACAACATTGCTTTAGCTGTGGCATTGATATCACTAATATGCCTTCCACTTTTCTTTAGTGCCTTGTCAAGTACAGAACTCTCGTTGGGTGATTTCTACTTCACAATGGATACCTTCTGTCAGTTTGGGAAAAACTCCATTGGCTTTACCTTGTAACTTGAGATACACTTGAACTCAAAGTTGCTTGCTTCAAATTGTCTGAGACGCACTCTCTTGTAACAAATTCTTGTCGTCCTATTAACTTCCCAAACTATCTGCCCCAGTTTCACATAATTCGGGCTTTAAATGATCTCAAAATGTCCAAGTCTTTACTTATTTCCCTCA